GTTTTCCTACTGACGTCCTCTCTACAGTCTTCCTACATTACATGTATGTATTGCTTATTTGCTTTGCATTGCTTTGATTGTTCTGTGTACCTCCGACGTGACATCCCCTGATATCTTAAAGGGGTCATATGATGCGATTTCAGGTTTTCCTTTCTCTTTGGAGTGTTACAAGCTGATTGTGCATAGATAAGATCCCTGAAGTTGCAAAGACTAAAGTCTAAAAACCAAAGAGATAGCGTTTGAGAGAGGCGGGGCATAGAGGAACTACAATAATGTACAGTATTTGAAAAATAATGTGTTTTTTGAACATTAAAGCATGTCAACATATTCTGTTACACCAAATACACCAAATAATGATCTTTAAAAAAGCATCATATGACCCCTTTAAAATTGTAAAAACTGACTCGTTATAAACTTGTAACCTCTCCTATCACCAACACAATTTATGTCAGTACAGTAAATAAAAAAACAAACAAAAAACGCAGCGTTACATACTTTAAACAATATAAACATTTACGCATGAACGGAGAGCCCACTGATCTATAATAGTCATTATATATAGATCAGTGGGAGAGCCCCATTCTAACGTCTACTATATATGCGCAAGCGCTCTCAATTATCCACTTCTTCATTATGGCAAATGTAGACTAAAGTGCCCCGTTTCTGATCATTCGTTCATTTGTTTAATTGATATTTTGCCTAACTTTGAGGTTTCTTTGCACCTGCGAGTTTGATGATACACTAATGCGATAATAAAAGCTAACTTACGACTGGTAACTTTTAGTAACTCCTTTAGCATTGAGTCTTTTTCAGCCGCAGTTTGCCAACAACGTTGCGTTATTTGAATATTGATTCTGATTGGTCAGTTTCGTGAGAGATGCCGAATTATGTTTTTAAAAATTTGCATGGGCTAACGTCTATTAAAGAAAAATAATATACATGTTATGCACTTCAGTGGGTAAACTGATTAAAAAGTCAACTGTATCAGCTTCAGTGTTTTGCTCAGCGACCCTATGCCTCATCTGATGAACAGCCACTGAACCAGTTCACCAGAATGAATCGTGCTTTCAAAGGCTACGTATGAGAGAAAGGTCTGTTTAGGAAAAACCGATTCACTAGAATGAATTGGACTTTCAAACGCTACACATGAGAGAAGGGACCGTTTACTATGAACCGATTCACTTGAATGAATCCGACTTTCAAATGCCACACACATGAGAAAAGGACCATTTAGGACGAACCAGTTCACTAGAATTAATCATATTTTCAAAATCTACATATGTGAGAAATAGCTATTTAGGAAGAACCGATTCAATAGAATGAATTGGACTTTCAAACGCTACATATGAGAGAAGGGGCCATTTAGGATGAACCGATTCCCTTGAATGAATCTGACTTCCCTGAAAAAAACAGGTAAAACCAGCCTGTTGACCAGCTATGACCAGCTAAAACCAGCCAACCAGCTTAGACTGATTTTAGCTGTTTTTTCAGCAGGGTTTCAAACGCCACATACTAGGCTATATGTGACCCTGGACCACAAAACCCGTCATAAGGGTAAATTTTTTTGAAATTTATATATATATATATATAATTGATTTGCTGAAATCAAAACAGGGATGATAATAGGTGAGCGCCAGCCAATGAGATTGCCGTTTGCGCATTAGTTCCGCCCACTACCGGAGACCTATTAGTTTCTTAAAAGCGGAAGAATTCCAAAGGAACTCCGTTATTTTGACAGCAAAATCCAACAAAGAATATCGTTTACATGTAGCGCGCATAGGTAGCGCGTCAATTCTCTCTCTCCCTCTCTCGCTGCGAGTGTGTGAAACAAAGCGACGGCGAGGTGTGCGCCTTCACACTCGAGTTTACGGTACGTTAAATACAGGTGCGTTGCACATCTACGGTGGCCGAGAAGTGCTAAACAAATCACAATTCTGAAATCAAAATAACAAATTACAAACGCAAATGCAAGTTTAAAAAACAAAATATAAATTCAGAAAGCACAACAACACTAATCAAAAATTACGTTTTGATATATTTACGGTAGGAAGCTTACAAAATATCTTCATGGAACATGATCTTTACTTAATATCCTAATGATTTTTGGCATAAAAGAAAAATCAATAATTTTGACCCACACAATGTATTGTTGGCTATTGCTACAAATATAGGCTACCCGTGCTACTTATGACTGGTTTTGTGCTCCAGGGTCACATTTGTGAAAAGGACCATTTAGGACGAACCGGTTCACTAGAATGAATCAAACTTTCAAAAGCTACAGAGAAAGAGCTATTTAGGAAGAACCGATTCAATAGAATGAATTGGACTTTGAAACACTACTTGAGGACCGTTTAGGATGAACTGACTCACTGAAATTTATTTGACTTTGATGAGAGAAGTGACCATTTAAAATGAACTGATTCACTAGAATAAATTGGACTTCCAAATGCTGCACACAGTGTGAGATAGTGAGAGAGAAAGAACTGTTTGGGTGAGTACATTTGATAATTCCTTCAGCACAGACGTGGAAAGAGTAGCTTGTACTTGAACACTTATATGTCTACTACTTTTAGTTAGTTACTCTCCAACACTGCAGCTGCTATAAACCCGACAGACAGTCACAGACGGAGTGCTGGAATCATCTATTGGGCCTGCTTGTGTACATAAATCGCTTAGAAGCCTGAAGTGGACAGTGTGTGGCTGCAAATCCAGTCTGCTAAAATCCTCCTCTCTGCTTCTTATCTCAGTGGGACACAGGATAACAGAGCGCTTCCAACCCCATCCCCGTAATGGATAGATCACCACAGCCGCACAGCTGCGGCTACTATTTGTTATAAGCAGAACCCTTGACTGGCGCGCTGAAGATGCCTTACAATACTGACAATGTTGTTTGTCTTCTAATTACCGTTTTCTGGAGGCAATCTGCCTGGAATCTTTTATCCTCAATCACAACAGCAATCAAACTCATTGTGTTTTGAATATCGCACATTGGTCAAAAGCCCCACTGAATGCCACAGAAATGAAAAGAGAGCTCGGATGTATTTATTAGGACTCTTGAGAGGAAAATCACATCTTGACATGTTGCTGAAGTACGGTAGGCTGAGATGGCAGCAGCAAAGGCAGAATTTGCTGAACGGAGCAGTCAGTGTACGTCAACTTGAAAGCTGGGGTGGATTTCCTGTCTTCTCACATCTCCTGTAGTCCTAAACTTAGCCTTTATACAGTTTCTGAAGATAACCAAAGATAAATTTTCATCATGAGATTTGGTTTCATGTCAACACATCTGGACTCAGGAAACATTTTGAAACCGGAACAGTCGCTGAACATACTGATAAAGCCACTGGACGCTGAGTTAGGGCAAGATGTCCTTTCAAGTCTCCTGATACTTATCAAGGAAGATACAATGGATTGTGGCTCTGGCGGCCCTGAGAAGTGTCACTAGTGGAATCGGTCTTTTCCGTTGCTATGGAGTCGCAGGTTGGAAAGCCCATGAGACCAGCAGTACTCAAGCAGTGGATGGGAGAAAACCTGAATCTGCGCATAATGTGGCGTGTCTGAATAATGCTGACCTAAAAACTCTTTTAAGAGGCACATAAATTATTGTCAAAACTCCTGGAGGATTTTAAATCCCAAGGGACGCACGCTGGAGACACTTAAGCGTTGAATTTTACAAACATAATTTTTTGGGTTTTGTTTTCTTTAATAAACAGTGTGTTTCCAAGTATATGCAGAAAAATAACCACTATAGTCTACTGCTTTCCATTTTGCATCACTTGTCTTCCTGTATATGTGTTTATCTCCATTAGTTATAGACCAATCCATTGGATTTTGATATCACTTTGAATCACTATTCTTCCTCAAAATGTGTTTATTTGTGTTAGTTAAAGACTGATCTAATGGCTAAACTGATAAATCAGCCAAAATTTGGCCACTTTGCCAATATCTACATATAAAATTGATAATTTTTCTTAATACTTTTTGTAAATTTTTGAAGGAAATTAATTTCAAGGTACTTGTGTAAAACTCAGTTGCTATAATTAAATTGGCTCTCTGGAAGAATTGATTATTGGTTGTTCAGTCCTCATATATTTCCCAATAATGACCGTTGCCCATGGCAACGTTGTATATCTGACCTCATCTTATGTTTCATAGCTGCCCGTCTTTCGTCCTTAAGTAATACAATTATTAACTATTAATATAAATTCAGTGTTTCATATTTATTAAGCAGCCGTATTTTAAGAGATAATGTACAGTCAGATGGTCAATGTTGCAAAATAAACCTCTTCATAATTATCCATGACTTTACATTATAGCCATCCATACTTATCACATAGGCTATATATCGGCCACTATAGTGGTATCAGCTGTTTAAAAACGTTTTCCGGTTGACCAACCCGCGTCTTAGCCTAAGCTTCTTCATAGCACTAAAAACTTTGTTACAAAATGATAAGATGTTATCAAATGAATATTTCTCAACAAATCTTACTGATTAGATAGGCTTCACATCACACATGTTTTTGTCAAGAGGTTTTTTCCTCTCTCCTTCTTGTATATAAAGGTCTCTAAACTTTGGGGATCGTTTGTGCTTCCCCGTAATACAGAGATAATTAAACCAACCTTTTAATGATCGATCTCACAGAAGGAAATCACTGATTTTTCAAGTCCAAATTAATATTTATGTCTAAACATCTTTTTCAGATTCTATACACCCCATGCGTTGACTATAGAAGCAGCACAGCATGACAAAACGCGTTTGATCTGTCGACTCTATACTGTCTGAGATACAGGAGAAGTTGCCATAAGCTTGTCCGTCACCAGCCTCACATCTCCAGCATCACAGCTCGTCAATTATTGGACTCTGTCCGACAATACAAACTTAGAAGTTCCTCATCTTTGCCTTTAAAGTCAATAAACCTATAATGAATACTGCATTCGGTAATGATAAAACTGCAGGGACAAAACGGACGGGTAGTGGAGAAAGAACAAAGGTGCGTACTTACAGCATTCAGCGCACTTTTCCCTTCCTTTGGTTCTTTATCCTTTGTCCAAAGGAATAGAAATCTCCGTAGAATCGCTCGCGTTTGTCGAGTAGTCCGAACAGAGATGGGAGTGACCCCTTTAGCACTACTTCGGGGGAAGAGGACTGTGTATTCCGCATGTATGGACAGTGTTAAATGCGCAACATCGACCCGAGCGCGCAGCACACGCAAGGGGAGGCAGAAAATGTTAGCGCTGGATTCAGGGGCTCTTCTAACCAGCGGATTCAGCACTAGAGGGGTTTACTAATGCAGGCGGGGCCACAGTCCCCGAGCGCACCAGCTTCTGGGACAACAACGTTTGAATTGGGGGTTTGTAGCATTTACGAGTTTTAAAAAAAGACATTTGAATAAATTATACGTTTGTTTTAAAATTATTATTTCATGATCGTTCATGTAAATATTTTAGTATTGTACCTAAAATAGACAATAGATGATCATTTTACATGTCCCTTCTGATACCATTACAGTCCCCAAGTCTGTCAAAGTCATTTTTGCACACTCCCTCTCCTGAAGGCTGACTCTGATAAACTTAAAAATAGATAGATAGATAGATAGATAGATAGCAGACAGACAGAGAGAGAGAGATGGATGGATGGATGGATGGATAGTCAGACAGACAGACAGACAGACAGACAGATAGATAGATAGATAGATAGATAGATAGATAGGCCTAAAATAGATAGACAGACAGAGACAGACAGACAGATAGATAGATAGATAGATAGATAGATAGAGAGATAGATAGATCGATAGATAGGCCTAAAATAGATAGACAGACAGAGACAGATAGATAGATAGATAGAATGTACAATGTATAATAGATCGCTATAATGTATACTGCAAGAAGTGTATCATATGTAGGAGCTGAAAATCTAAAGTGGCAGGACTGATATCTGCCACCTTCTCAGCATGACAGATCCACTGCTGTTTAGGAAGGGATTAATTAGCAAACACTTGCATTTAATCAATACATACAATCAGAAAGTTTGGTCTGTATCAGTAATCATACACACGGTGGGCTATTGAGCAGCACTTCCGAACCTGAGCCAAACACTAGAAGATTGCAATGTTCTTCACTAGTAATGAATGTGCTGCATTGTGTGCGAAATAAAGGAGCAGCGAAATAAGATTTTAATAGGCATGAATAGATTTCATAATGGATCTGAGCCTGCTCTCTTTTTCTTTTTCTTCCCCTCCCTCTCTCTATTTCTCTCTCTTTCTCTTGTTGTCTAGATGCATTAATCACTGTAACCTCCTAGATGTCTCCACCTTCATTTGTCTTTGATTTCTCCGTCAGTCAGAAGTGGGGCAGTGTCTGCAGTTAATAAGTCTGGCTTCTTAACCCTCTCCTACTGTATACCCTTTACAACCCACATCGTCCAGAACCCACAAAACTGGGTCTCCGTGTTATAATTAGAAACTCGAGGTGATACGGTACATAGACGGGAGCCATTCACTCACCCTTATGTCGTTCCAAACCTGTATGAATTAATTTTTTTCTGCTGAACACAAAAGAAGATATTTTGAAGAACATTGGGGTCTAGCTTTATTTTGGACCCCATTAACTTTTATTTTATGGACAAAAATACATATTAAAAATCGTATTTAAAAAATATATTTTCTTTTGTGTTCCGCAGAACAAAGTCAAACAGTCCAAATCTTTTTGGATGGACTATCCCTTTAAAGGAATAGTTCACACAAAAAATGAAGAAAACAGATCCTCTACAGTGAATGGGTGCCGTCAGAATGAGAGTCCAAATAAGAGCCCAAATTTTAGCCAGAAATAACAATTTTAAAGTTAAACACCCTAATGATGGATCTGTTTCTTACAAACACGCAGCTTTTTACTTCACAAGATGTTAATTGATGGACTGGAATCGTGTGGATCACTTGTGGATTATTGTGATTTTTTTATCAGCTGTTTAAACTCTCATTCTGACGGCACCCATTCACTGCAGAGGATTCATTGGTGAGCAAGTGATGTAATGCTAAATTTCTCCAAATCTGTTCTGATGAAGAAACAAACTCATCTACAGCTTGGAAGGCCTGAGGATGAATACATTTTCATCAGATTGTCATTTATGGGTAAAATATTCCTTTAAGGAGGCAGCGTTTTAAACATTTTATGCTTAATTTCTGGATTTTTTGTCTCAAAAGCAGACTACAGATGAATAATATGTAACAGGATGCTTCTAGAGGGATTTGAAGAGTATTTAAACAAAGTTTTAAAACAAACGGTTTTCACACAGATTCAATAATAGATGCTACTGCAATAGTATTCTTTACCTCCAATATTTTTGCCCTAGATTGGTGGGTTTCAGCTGTGAGACACAGTGTACTATTCTGTTGCTCAGCCAGAAAGTATCAGCTGTGCATCTGGCCTACATTAAACTGACCTGTTTTCTTATAGTCATCATATATTTAGGGCTATTGATGATCACAGTAAAACCCTTAAAGGGCAGGATCAAATCTGCATTATTGTTAGATTCAATGGGCGTTTTGGTTCGAATGATCAAATTACATTATAATGTGGTTATAAGCAGGTTTGACGCAAGTTATTTAGCATAAATTCTTAAGCAAGTTAGTACAATGATCTCAAGCGTGTTTCATGCTAATATCACAGCAGCAGTCTGCCATCCGGTGGCCTTGCTGAAGAATGATCTCAAACCTGAAAGCTGAAGAACGTATTGTCAATTTGTGTCTAAGCAAGTGCTTATAAATGCAAAGAGAAATTTATTGAAAATATGTAAATTTATTTATTGAACAATTCATTGTGGCTGTAGACGTGAATCCTTGTACAAGGGAACTTGAAACAAACGTCCGCAGTACAAACACAAGACGTGACATGGTGCAAAGGCTAGAAGGAGAGTCCAGGACAGAGGAGAATGAAAGAGGAGGGATTTAGAAGCACTTCCTGTGGACAATGGAGGGTCCGGCCTCCTCATACTCATCTTTGCTGATCCACATCTGCTGGAAAGTGGACAGGGAAGCCAAGATGGAGCCGCCGTCGGTATCGGCAAGTACCAAAAATAAAAGTATCGGTATCGGGCGAGTACTGGAAAAAGTGGTATCGGTGCATCCCTAATAATTATCATCATTATCATTATCATTATCATTATCATTAATTTTATTATTATTATCAACAACAAACAAATCATTACAAATGACAAAACAATAAAACAACATACATTGTGGACATTTTAATAATAATAAAACGCGGCAGCAAGATTAATTTTTAATGAGCCGAATAGAAGGCACGTCACACCTCTGTTCATCAATTTGCACTGGCTACCAGTAGCTGCAAGAGGAGGGATTTAGAAGCACTTCCTGTGGACAATGGAGGGTCCGGCCTCCTCATACTCATCTTTGCTGATCCACATCTGCTGGAAAGTGGACAGGGAAGCCAAGATGGAGCCGCCGATCCAGACAGAGTATTTACGCTCAGGAGGGGCAATCATCTGTAATGGACAAAGGAAAATTGAATGATTTTTAGTCATCACCATCACCATTATCGATAACAATAATTATTAGGGATGCACCGATACCGATACTGGTCTAACTGAGACTTGTTATAGCACTTGTATATCATTGCTCTTTTGTTGATTTTTATTGCTTCCATTGTCCTCATTTGTAAGTCACTTTGGATAAAAGCGTCTGCTAAATGACTAAATGTAAATGTAAATATAATAATAATAATAATAATAATAATAATAATAATAATGATAATAATAATAATACACATGGTATAATTATTTGATATTTGTAATAATAATTATAAAAATATCAGTAATCCATAATTACAATAATGCAATATACATTATGGATATTTTGATAATAATAATAATAACTAATTGTTATTATTATTCTGTTAATATATAAATAATCCATAATTACAATAATACAGAAAATACATTATGGATATTTAATTATAACTACTACTAGTACTACAACTAATAATAATAATAATAATAATAATACATTGTTATTAAAATATTAATAATGCACTTTGTATTATTGCTTTGTGATTTGTAATAATAATATTTTTCTTCTTATTATTATTTTTAATATCCATAATGAGCGTAGTATTATAGTTTTGTTTAATTGTTGCAGTCTGATTGTTATTAATTTACTATTGTATCTAGAAATGTAACAATAATTTAACATCAGTTCTGCATATTAGTTATTGGAGACTTAAACATAATAATCTGTACCTGTCATAAAATCATTTAAGTCACAAAACAACTTTGCATAAACAATAATAAAATATTAATACATATTAATTATTATTATTATTATTAAAACATTACTTATTTTTCATTCATTATTTTCCTTCATTATTTTCTAGACTAATGATCACTTAATTATTTTTTGTGTCCTATATATATATATAATAAAAATACATTGGTTCTGCATATTCACTTTGGACAATTAAACATAAAATTAATCTACACATAAAATAAAATGTTAATGTAAAAAAAACTGTACCTTGATCTTCATTGTGCTGGGAGCCAAAGCTGTGATCTCTTTCTGCATCCTGTCACCGATACCAGGGTACATGGTGGTACCGCCAGACAGTACATTGTTGGCGTACAGATCCTTCCGAATGTCAATGTCGCACTTCATAATGCCGTTGTAAGTGGTCTCATGAATACCAGCAGACTCCATACCTAAAGACAATGTCATTTAGATGATGAATGGGACTATACATGAAACATACTTCCATTTAAATACATTACATATGCAGTACCATGCTAATTCACGATTACATAATAGCGCTGATTTCATTAAGGGAAGAACTGCTGGTTAGCCATTGTCCTATCAGCTCCACTGGATAAGGAAACAGTGATTGATGTACAATGTCAAGACTAAGAACCGTGTACACCATAAATAGCCCCTCAGCCTTTGGCCATATACTGAAACACTCCTAATTAGTTCCTGACAAAAGGTGATCTGTCACGGTGTCACCTCTCCTAAAAGTGCACTGTAATGTATGAAAAAGCTCTAAAAATGCAGTTGGTTGAATTTTTCTCAGTGGGAAACTTGACCGCTTCGCTGTGCCCATGGAAGGTGGGTTTAATTCTGTTGCTGTGCATAGACTGATGTGCAAATGATTGAGAATTATTAAT